GACTTGTCAATATCTCTAACGCAACTCGGGAATGTCTTAGTGACGATGTCATTGATGTTTATGTTAAATTGTTTCTTTTGTTATATGCTGATGATACAGTGCTTTTAGCAGAAAGCAAAACTGATTTGCAAGATGCCTTAAATGCTATGAGTGAGTACTGCAATATATGGAATCTTGTTGTAAATGAAGCTAAGACTAAAGTAGTGGTTTGTAGTAAGTCAAAACCTAAGGATGACTTTGATTTCATGTACAATGGTAAAAAGCTTGATTTGGTAGATAACTTTACTTACCTTGGAGTACTTTTTAATAATAATGGTAAATTTTTGAAATCAAAGAAAATTCTTGTTGATAATGCTAGAAGAGCAATGTTTTCTGTGATCCAAAAGTCACGTAAATTGTGTTTACCAATTTCTTTGCTACTACATTTATTTAACTCTATGGTTGTACCTATTCTTCTTTATGGAAGTGAAGTTTGGGGATTCGAACAAGTTCAAATTCTAGAGAAATTTCAGTTGTATTTTTGTTAATTTATTTTGAATTTAAAAGCTTCTACACCTAATTGTATGGTTTATGGTGAGCTAGGCATATTCCCATTAGCCTTACAAGTGAAAGCAAGAGTTTTGTGTTTCTGGAGTAAAATTATAAATGCTAAGGAAAATAAGATATGTAAACTTCTTTATAAAACAATGTTGTCTTTGTCCTCTAGGAATATTGTTAATTCTAAATGGATAAATTTTGTGAAAGAAACACTTAGTAATCTTGGCATGTCAGAATATTTTCATTTACAGAAGGTAGATAATATTAATCACTTTAAAAATGTTGTGAAGCTTAGACTACAAGATCAATTTTTACAAGATTGGCATAGTACTATTGATACATCCTCTAAGTGTTTAGTGTATCGTACATATAAAAATACTCATTGTTTTGAAAAATATCTAGATGTACTTCCTTTTGACATAGGCAAATATTTATGTATATTTAGAACAATGAATCACCTATTACCAATCGAAAAAGGCAGACATTTGGCAATTGATCATAATAATAGGGTCTGTTCCTTATGTCTGTATCAAGCTATTGGTGATGAATTTCACTATTTATTTGAATGTTCGTACTTTAATGAAATAAGACGTAAATCTCTTCTTCCCAGGTTTTACACTCATCCCAATATTTTTAAACTTGACACATTAATGAATAGTTGTGATAAAAATATTCTTCTAAAATTATCTTTATTTTGTAAAAACATTATGTTAAAATTTAGATAAGTAATACTTCTCATTCTCCGTTCTCCTTTGTTACAATATAAAGTACATGTTGTATTGAATTCAGAACTTGAAATGAACAATATGATCTCCTTTTTGTTTATTAAGCTAGTCATAATTGTATTTTTTATATTGTGATATTAGTGATTTTTGACTGTTATTTTTCTGTTTGTTTGTTGTTATAACCAGTTGCATATTATATGCCTTGGTTTAATAAAAACTGAAACTGATTTTGTGTCCGTTCCATAGCTTTTTCATAGGTCAAGGGATTTTGAAATTACTTGGAACTAATGTATACAATAATGAAATTGAGAAAATAGAATCCCTAAAGAAAGCCCAACACGGCAAAATTGAAAATGTTGCAGGCTTGGTTTGATTGAGCCTGTACATGGAGACCTCTACCTCCAAGTTCAAGGTTACACTTGGATGTCAAAGCTTAATATTATAATGTCTGTTGTATGGTATATTTTGATTCAAGTTTATAATTTTCTCATCAAACAATGGAAATTTTGAAATAACTTAGCACAAATGTTAACAATAAAAAAGTGATGTGTCACCCAGACGTCTACCTTCAAGGTCAAGGTCACACTTTGTGATAAAATGTCAAATTTGTTTTTTCGAGGGTATTTTTGGTGTCCGATCAATAACTTTTTGTGTCGCCTGGAAAAGGCGACATATAGGGGTTACTTTTGTCGGCGGCGTCGATGTCCCCTAGGTATTGTCCGGAGCATAACTCTGTGACTATAAGTCGGATTGACTGCAAACCTGGTGTGCATGCTTGTTTTAATAACCCAAAGTGCAGTGCACAAGAACCAATACGCTGCACTTTTTAATTTTTGAGTAATTGCCCTTTGTTAATGTTCATACTTTAATTTTGTCCGGGTTATTTGTCCTAAACAATAAAAGCTATGGACTGGAAACTTAGTATGATGATTGATCTCATTACGAAAAAGTGCAGTGCACAAGAACCGGTACTCTGCACTTCTTATTTTTTTGACTTATTGTCTTTTGTTAATTTTCATACTTTATTTTTGTACGGGCCATTTCTCCTAAAGATTAAAAACTTTCTGTGTCGGGTGGGGGCTGCGTTCATTGAACGCCGCCTTTCCTTGTCGATCTTGTTTATCATATTTCATTAGTTGATAGATCTCATTAACAAAAAGTGCAGTGCACAAGAACCGGTACTTTGCACTTTTTTTGAGTTATTACCCTTTAGCGGTGTTTATAAATAACCTGTATTTAAGAAGATAAAGCCTAAGTGACAACTATACTGTTCGATTTTTCTCTATATGTAAACGATTTTCTTATCTGCTATCGATCGAAAAGTATGAGAACAATTGAAAGGCAACTTCAACAAAATTTAGATAAAATTCAAAAGTGGGCATTAGAAAATAGTTTTAAATTTTCAAAGTTAAAAACTCAATGAATTCATTTTTGTCGATTACGGAAACACCATAATGTTCCTGAACTTTTCATATCTGGTTCTAAAATTCCAGTAGTTGATGAAGCTAAGTTTTTTGGAATTATATTTGATAAAAAAAACTTTCTTTTATACCACATATTAAACATTTGAAAACTTAATACCTAAAAGCTTTAAATTTACTAAAGGTTTCATCAAGTACAAACTGGGGATCAAATTTTTCCACATTACTGAAATTTTACAGAAGTCTTATCCGATCAAAATTAGATTATGGTTCTGTAGTAGATTGGTCTGCAAGAAAATCATATCTTCAAATGCTAGTTACCATAAATCACCAGGGTTGACGTTTAGCTTTAGGTGCTTTTCGCACCTCACCTGTAGAAAGTCTATATGCGGAAGCTGGGGAACCATCGCTTCATATCTTCGTCTCAAACGCTATCACTTCAATATGCAACTAGAATGTCATCTAATAGCAAAACTCCAGCTAAAAATATTATTTTCAAACCAAGTTATACTGAAAAATTTGTTAACAAACCAAAGAAATAAAAGATGATTTAGATAAACTTAAAATTAATCCAGACAGTATCCTTCAAAATGACGAAAAGGATATTCCACTTTGGACTTATAATTCCCCGAAAATAAAAATTAACCTTTCAAATATAAAGAAGTCATCAAATTCATCTGAACATTTCAAAGAAAAGTTTCTAGCAATTAAAGAAGAACATGAATATTTTATACATATTTATAAGGTCGGTTAAAAAGAATGTTGCAAAGTAGGTGCGGCTGTGTTTGAAAATAATTTTACATCTCGTACGATTTTACCAGGTAATGCATCAATTTTTACTGCTGAAGCAAAGGTTATAGATTTAGCATTGTCATTCATTGTACAGCATACCCATGATAAATTTGTGATATTTTCTTACTCGCTTTCTGTTTCAATATCCATGAAAAATAAAATAAACTGACAATAACATGATAAGGAAACTTCTTTTACGATTTCATGATATACTTAAAACAAAATCTGTTAAATAATATTGGATTCCAAGTCATGCAGGTATACGAGGAAATGAAAAAAGTAGATGCTTTAGCTAAACAATCATTAAAGTTTCAAAAAACTGACTTATTGTTACCTGCTTGTGATTTTAGACCGGCTAAAAACAAACTCGTGTCATCTGAATTGAAAGCAAATTGGGACAATGCCGTTTTTAATTACTTCACGCTATAAACCCATCTCTTGATGTGTCACCATCTTTATCTCTGTCACACCGCCATGATCAAACAGTTCGTCTTCGATGCCGAATTGGACACACTAAAATTAACCACTCTTATCTCCTCACGAATGACAATGCCCCTGTCTGTGTACCTTGTAATGAAAATTTTACTGTCAAGCATTTTCTTCTTGAATGTCATGATTTTTCACAGGCCCGTAATAGATTTCATTGTGTAAATTCACTCAAAGAACTCTTTAATACAATTCCATCAAAAACATCATTGATTATTTGAAAGAGATAAACTTGTATTCTAGGATCTAATTGGCTCCTCATTTTCATTGTCATTTACAAAGTTTTGCAGTACATTTTAAGCCTATTATATCATTCGGCACGATATTGCCAGTTATGTGTTGACGTGTCAAAACAAACAAACTATAGGTCTAGCTCCATGTCACGTTTTACTTTCTCAAAACTTATAAGGTTATTTTTTGGTCGCCAATACACTCTTGGCTTAGCAATCAGTCAGTGTATCAGAGGTCTACAAAAAATCAAAGCACCAAGATGCATTTAATAATTTGGTCATGCATTTTAAACTGCGGGAAATATATTGACGTTATAATAAGTCTCTATGTCTACGTTACAAACAACTAAATAAATTCTTTGGTGCTCATAGTCGTTCTTGAGAACTTTTAAATATATGGTTTAAATTGAGAAAACAATGGCGGCACTGTTTTTTTTCCTGAACTGAACAAGTATGATGTTAGCAGATACTGTTAAACAAAATGCAAAATGTCAAGTCATGTACTCTTGTGTGTGGGTATAGGAAATCAATATGAAATAAAGTATGATAAAACTAGTATGCTACTGAAATATACAGGAGATAGATCGCCGTGTTTCAAAGCCAGTCACCTTTACACTTGAGCTAGATTCGACCGATGAAGGTATGGAATTCCATATGATCATTGTGCGTTGTACTGTCATATATAATCTTGTTTAACCAGCAAACGTTCTGGCCTAACACTTAACATGGTGTGGTTGATTGCGAATATAAGCAATAAAAGGACATATCACGAGCCAGAGAAATAACGAACTCGAAGTTCTCACGACTTTTTACAATATTTACAGACACTAGGCATACAATAAATGAGGCATTCAGATGGATGAGAAAATCCATACCATACATGTGATGCAAAAATGGATACACAACACAAAAACACTTTTCATTAATTTCAATGACCACATGAGAGAAATTTTGAACATTATGTCTATGGATATCAAAACATTTTAATCAGAAAGTAATATACCAACACAAGTGTATAATAATGATTTGCAGTCAGTCTGAAAAGAATTAAATACACACGCAAACACGCACGCACACACACACACACACGAACGTACAAACTCAAACACTAAACTTAAGTATAACAAGGAAATGTACCTGTTTTTTTGAAAATTTTGTTTTTGATTATTTAATGTAAAGTTGATTTCACCTTGTAAAAGGTTTTATAGCATACACCTTAACATTAAATGGAATAAGTCATTATACACAGATCAAAATAAAATACAATAATGTTGTTTTAACGTCGATTTTCAACCATTAAAATAATCAAATAAATTACAATGATTTATCAACAAAAAAGCATGTATAGGTGACGAATATAACATAAGCATTAAATGTTAATCTAAAAATGATACCGAGAATAATATTAAGAAATATTATGGTTACTTTATAAAACTTTGCGTTACACAAAATGACACCTTAAATAACCCTTGATATGTCAATGTGATAATAACTATTTTAAAATAAAGATCAAGGTAACATACACAAATGTCCCCTAATAAAATGTTTGATTATAGATAGGTTAATTTCCATTTATGGAAAAGGGACATTTTGTAACGAGAAGATAATCATCTTCTTTGAGAAAATCTTAAACAAATAGACGCTATTTAAACCAAAACAATTTCGGATCATCGTTCGGTTGGAGGAGGTGCTCGCATTCTGTCAAGTTGTTTAGGGTGATATGACACCACGTCCGTCAATGTGTCAGAACAACGGTTATCTAAAAGAGAAAAATGTTTCAAATGCATCCAACATAAAAAGCATATTAATTTGTTAAGTAGGTCAACAATGTAAGTAATAACTTCATTTAATTACAACACGATTTGTGTTGCACTTAAAGAAAATGTGCGGCTTATTCTTGTTTTTAAACCATGACTATGCTTTCGTTCAACTTATTGATAATATATCAATTGTTTATACCAAAATCAATATATTTCCATATAAGAAATGAAACGAATTTAGAAATTTATCAGTTTAGATTTGGTCATTATTTAATAAGCATTTAATAAGAAGAGTTACAATAGTACCTGTTACTGCAGGTTTTTTCCACATTTTGAATGTTACCACTGCGAGTATTACCATTAAAGGTAGACCTACAAATGTAACTGTTACTCCAACTATGATTGTGGTATTGTCACGTGCCTGCGATGCCATATCTTGTCCTAAATCTAAAATTGCATCCTCGTCCTCTTCATTAACTGCATAACCTTGTTCGCCAGATATACGATAATATCGTGCAACAACAATAGAAACTATATTTGAGACGGGCCCTTTATTACCAGCATCGTCGACAGCTAGGACTGCAAAATACATTGTTTCAACAAACGATTCTTCTGCATTTACAACAAGTTTCAACGCTTCTGTCGTTCCAACAACTTGTGGGTAGAGAGAGGAATTTGTCATATTAAGGTGATCTGCTAACTCGAAATTGTCACGCAAGGTTTCAATATTGCTAGATATCCTCATTTCGTATGCCGAGGCTGTAAACAGATACGATGTTTGCAAATTACAATTTCAGAATTAAGAGAACTAGAAATGTGTCCATAGGACACGAATGCCCCCACACGCCACTGTTCTGTCAATCTTATGACTCTAGGTCAAATATTTTTGGACTACATGTGCCACAAGTTGGAAACTAAAAATCAACAAAGGGCCATAATTTTGTTAAATTTGATCGCAGCAAAAATTCCTTCAAATACTACCATCTACACGTTAAGGTTGTTCATCCCTGGAAGTTTCAGCAAAATCTGCTATCTGGTTTAAGTGGAGTTGCGTTCACAAAATTTCTACATAGTATATAGTGAGAAAATCAACAAAGGGCCATAATTCTGTTAAATTTGGTCGCAGCGAAAATTCCTTCCTTTACTACCATCTGCACATTAAGGTTGTTCATCCCTGGCAGTTTAAGCAAACTCTGCCATCCGGTTTAAGAGGAGTTGTGTGCACAAAATTTCTACATAGTATATAGTGAAAAAATCAACAAAACGCCATAATTCTGTAAAATTTGGTCGCAGCGAAAATTCCTTCCTTTACTACCATCTACAAATTAAGGTTGTTCATCCCTGAAAGTTTAGGCAAAATCTGCCATCTGAGGAGTTGCGTTCACAAGATTTCGGGACGGATGGACGGACGGACGGACAAGTGCAACGCTATATGCTCCCACTATGTTTGGGCATAAAAAATTGATCAACTGCCAATGCAACAGTTTTATTTTTAAATTTAGGAGTCTAAATAAAAAAAATATCAAAGGTAATTTTTGTTATTAATTATTTGCTTCCGTGTTCAGTCGTTAATCTAACGTTTTTGTGAACCTTTGATTAACAAAAGAAAAAAGTATATGTGATCATGTAATGTATATGTACCTCGACCCTGATTTTTATCATCCCCGGTTGCCGTCCAAGTAAGCGTCAAATTTCTGTTTTTCCCACTTTGTGTTGTTTCGGACTCAATATAATTTATCTCTACATCTGTTATTCTTCCAGGAGCTATAGTGTCAACTGATTCATCATAAATGTAATTTGACACATAGAGTTCCTCTGTTACTACATTCCGCTGGAAGGAATCCGGAATACTTTCTTCTATTTCCTCTTCTAAAATGGGCAATTGAATAAACAATATAACAACATATATCATTTAAATTTTGTAAACCTTCTTGTATTAATAGAATAAACATACACGTATAGCTTTGATATCTATATTACTACTATGACGTCATTCGAACGGTATGTTTGATATCGAATAATACAGAACAGGTCAGCGTATAATATTATAAACTGATTAACTCCAATCGGCATTTGTGTGTCTTTTAACCTGTTGGTTTTAAATGAATTGCCTAATCTTACGTTTTAACAACGTGCTATGGTACGTTTATGCACAATCATTCATTAAACAACAGCAAAAAAGTTTCGATGTTTTTCTGTCTAGGACCACTGTGCTTTGAAAAGAGATTAGTGGAATCATTTACAAAGGTAGAGATGGAGAATTTTAATCGGATAAATGCAGGTCATTATTTTTGCATGATTGGAGAAATACATATGAAACAACTGGAGGAAATATTTAGGGTTAACATCCAATTTATTTTATTTATCTACCCCTGAAAATACTGTTTAGTTTATGTTATAGGTCACGATCAGAAATTCAATTACACAACACTAACAAATGTAAACGTGACTTAAGACCAACCATGTGTCATTATTATAAATCTTAAATGCTTGTGCTAGTATTAGATGTTATTGACGATAACTATTACTTGCACGAACAAACAGGCCAACTCGATCAAACCGTGTCTGCAGCATTTTCATTTTTGCCTCTTAATGCGGGTTTTTTTCGAGTTAGATTTTAGTTACTGTTTTTTCCTCTTTTTTTATTATTTAGCATAGATATATAAGAGATGGACAGGAATGAAAAAATATCATGTTCTTTTACCTTCAATCACACTCGCAGAACCAGAGTTACTATACAAAAGGTAAATCTCCCCACCTTTACCAGCCGCTTTAACTTTGATATATACTCGTCCAGCTGCGAGACAACTTGGTAAAATATAACACGAGTAGGTGCCGTCGTTTTTCAATCTATCTGGATCTGGAATAATGCATACATACATTTTATCAGGACAAGAACTTACTTACAGTGCATTTTATTTAAATAAGCTTTGCATATTTTCTCAAATTAAAATTATGTTAATCAATAATAATTTCGATAATCGATGACACAAACATTTGATGTAGTTAAAGGTAAAAAGTTGTGTATTTAATGTGTATTGAATGTTCGCCTCTGTTACTTCACAATGTTGTTACCATTTTATCAAGTGTACAACAATATAAAAAGTTTTACACAAATACATACAAACTGTATGAAAGAAACAAGTGTAAACAGATAACAATTCTATTCTTGTTAAATATTTATTTTATGTTCCGGCATCGTTAAAAGTTTTCCACTAGTATCTGCATTATCTATAATTCCTTGACACGAGCCACTCTTGACTGATTAATAAATGTTAATTTCGCAAATATAACTTTGTTAATTATGGTAATTTCATGGATATTACTCTGTAGTTACTTAGAGAAGGAACTCAAAGCGATTGATAAAATCAAAGAGTATTTGTCATTGTCGAGCTTTATGATTATCTTAACGACATTTATTAGCACAAAAGGATGAATATTCTATTTTTGTCCTACATTACCTTATTGCTCACAAATAAAAAAGATACTTACAAATGCCATTGTCATGCAAGTAAAGTGTACAAGGCAAATTTGTGTTCGATTCAACATTTGCTTCTACGGTGACATTAATAACTGGAGCGTTATTTTTTGTGACATCTACAAACAATGCAGGGAAATCGTCAGTAGTTAAGTCCACATGTGACTTTGACAATCTCGAAACAACACGTATCACATCATTAGTTGTAATTGTTGGCGATGTTGTTACAAGATATTCCACACTCTGTATCTTAGTAGTAATCACTAGGTAATAGTCACCTGCCTAACATGAAAAGCAAAATGTTATTCACATGATGTTAACAACTGGGCCGCATTCGGTACTTATGTAAGGTAATGTTACACTTACAAGTATAAGAAACAGCGAGAAATAATCACAATTAAAATTAAAATCAGACGATTATCAAAACGGAAATATCAAGTTCTCAAAAAAAATTATTATTCATCAATGTTTTATTTCTTAGGCAACAAAGGATATGTCAGATTTTTGTTTCTTTACTTACTTGTACACAGAAACAATTTATTGAACACCAACTATACGCCGGTTAATTTTGGACTAGGGACTAATGAATAAGTAAGATTATAAAAAATAACAAGCCAGCTTTTCTTATGCATTTAGCAATAATTTATCAGAGAGTTTGTAATCTAATGAAATTATATTTAATCAGCATGGTCATTTTTCATTGCATGTTGATAATTAAAGATCTGATATTAAGATATATTTTTATTATACAAAATATGTGTCGCTTTAAAATAGTTACAAACAAAATATGTGAAAGTAATCGTGCACCTGTGCAATCCCATCAATTTTCAATGCAGCAATTTTGTTTCCATAGACAGTTGAATTTTGCAAGTAACTTCCAGGTCCGTTAAGTTGTATATGAATGTCATCATTATCGGCTGTGAAAACAGTTACAGATGTGTTCTTACCCATCCCAGTCTCTATTGAAAAGGTTGTATTGATCACGTTTGATGAAAGTTTCTCCGATATCAACTAAAACAAAAGATATTAAAAAGAAATGATACAAATCTATATGAATCAGTCAATTAATTACAAAAACAAACATTTTATGTGGATATAATAATTAATTAAAAAAAGGCCTATTTGGACATAGAAAGAAAATATCTTACCATTGCAGGTTGTTTTGCCAATATTGTTATAGAAGTACCTCCCGATAAAGCTTCATTAAAAACAGCGGCAAAGCTGATTGTGTCTTTTTCTAAATAGGTGTAATGCTTTCCTCCAGTTTCTTTTGCGATATCAGGAAGTAGTGTGTCTGCATGCTGAGATACCGCTATTGTATTAATGTTCACTTTTTTAGCTATTGCATTTAATCTAGATATATTAAGATCACCATGATTGTTCTCGCCATCTGTTATGAGAATTATTTGTCCATTCTCAGCAGAGCCTAGTTCTGCAGTTAAAACCTATAGATGAGACATTATTAGAAATGACAACACTACTTACAACAAAAACAATTTATTCCTTTCAATATTTCTCAAAAGCATGTAGTAATTGAGTTTATAATGGATGAATACAATAGGAGGATATCATTCATATTTTTATTTATTACTTAACTTTTATTTTATAATTATAGATATAACATTGTTTTCTAACTTTAACCCAAAAGCTGAGGGCTCGGTTTGTTATGAATAATCAGTGTTGAATTTCAATGGTTTGATTCCTCTTTGACCTCTTGTCTTGAAAAATGATTTTGTATGTTTTAAAATAATTCAATAGTGTCTAAAATTATGTTGCTATTTATTTGAAATCAGTATTTTGCGGACATTGGTTGCGGAAAAAAATATGTACACGATAATTGTGATCCATGATTACATTGTAACTTTGACAATTGTTATTTTGTGGATGCAACAACTTTAGTTGTTATTTTTCAATGGTTTTTAAGTTGTTCTTTTTCAATAGTTTTTAAGTTGTTCTTTTTCAATGGTTTTTAAGTTGTTCTTTTTCAATGGTTAGTTTGTTGAAGCAACATTGTTTTGTTCTATCTGGAATTTCAGTGTCGTAATGCTTCCCATTTAATTTTTCAACTTCGTAAATCCAGACAGACATTCGTCTTGGTAGCAATTGTTTCGTTGCCTTTAAAGGTATGCAATACATTGCTGAACAAACATTCACAGTCATTTGCGCGTGCGTAAATACTCGCATGTGTATATTGTAAGACAACTTATCTACAACCGTATGACTCTTATTAAGAGCATCTAACATACTCTTTTAAAAAAATATTTCAAAGGCATTAAACTTATGTCTGACCTTTTCTTAAAGAGCTATTCAGGCAAATAAATGACAAATATTAAACTGATCATTATGCTCAATCACGCTAATATTACATTTTCAAAGTCCAATAGTGAATTTCTCTATTTATTCAATATATTTTGGGTATTAAGCGTAAATATATCTATATATGTTGAACGAAATTAAAAGGCCGACAGAATCACCGAGTTGTTTTAACAAACCCTGGAAGTTAAAATAACAGAAATTGTGGATTTTGTATTATTGACGATGTTCTAAGTCAGTCTATTTGACATATTCATGTAAGTTTTAAAAATTCACTATGACAACTATTGTGAAATCTGAACGCTCTATCTTGACGTGGGTCAGTTGGGAACCCACCACATTATTGTTTTAAGGAGAACAGTTCAGTTCCTGTTACTGCCAAGTGTTTTCATTTTGATGATATTAACAAAATATTGAATTATCAATTCAAAACGAAGAAATGATATTTTGCCTGTATTCTTTCATAAGCCTAATGGGTTATGTAAGTTTATTTTTCTTAATTTACGCGCAAAACAGTTATAGATAATTGACTTAAAATGACCGTTACCAAGTCCGGAATCGCACATGTGTAAGAGTTTCTAGTTTCTACCTATATTGTTTTGCTTTGTTTTTTGTTTTCAGATATTGATACTCAAACCGAAAGTGATGTACATTTATCCCCTTTTTAAATATTGATTGGCCTTGCTTGCGAATTACTAAAGTGGTTCTCGTTATATTGGTTGCATTTATGTACATACAAAGGATAAACTTTATATATAAAACAATCGCCGATAGTGATCCATTCATGGTTCAATGTTATAAGTTTGAAACATAACCATCAATAGAATCAATATTTGGTAATGATGACGATTTCGATGACACTCGCCTTTTGGACAATATAATTAGTTAATAAATGAAGTGAATAAATTTATGGAAAAATATCACTTTTCGCCAAGATAAAAAAATCTTTAAAAACATCTATAAACAACGGATTCAGTAGATTTATCTGATTTACGACTTGTTTTTAATGTTTCACTTCAATACAAACCTTATGTATCTTAAGAACGTAAGTGCTGGAACAACCGCTTTTCACCACGCATGGGCTACCGAGGATGTAATTTACAAGACTTTTGGTATAACATTTTCTCCAGATATCAATGTAGTCATGCTTACCTTTATTGCCTCGTCAATACCACATCCGATACAAGTATTTCCGTCGGCAGTTAAAGGGAGGGCCCTTATCATTTCGTCTTTGTCTTCTTGTGAGTTCAAATGTTTCATATCAATTTCTATGTATGCAGAATGATTAAATGTCACAATTGCCAGACTACTTCCAAAGGGAATCTTTTCTTGTATTACATATTTCGCAGCCTGAGCTAGAATTTCAATTGTGCTTTCCTGAAAATAGGTAAAATATCTCGTTTCACTACTTTTATATCATATGTATTTACATCAAAGTGTGTGATAGTCACTTAAATGTAGGTTTTTATAAGGGGGGGGGTATATAGGAGTCACCCGGTTGTTGGTCGGTTGGTCGGTCGGTCGGTCCAGCGGTCCGTTGCATTTTCCTTGTCTGGAACATAACTTAAAAACTAATTGTTGGAAGTCAATATAACTTCATACAATGGTCAAGCACATATAGAGAAAGTGAAGTGCACAAGGACCATTACTCCATCTTGACTTATTACAGATTTATTGTCCTTTTGTTACTTTTCCTTGTCCGGAGCATAACTTGAAAACTACTGATTGGAATTCAAAACATCTTCATGCAATTGTCAAGCACAATAATGGAAAGTGCAGTGCACAAGTACCATAGCTCTATCTTAAGTAATTACAGAATTATTGTCCTTTGTTACTTTTCCATTTCTTTCTTTTGTCCTGTCCATAACTTGAAGACTAATAGTTGGAATTCAATATAATTTTAAACAATGGTCAAGCACACTGAGAGGAAGTGCAGTGCACAAGAACCATAACTCTTTCTTGACTAATTATAGAGTTACTGCCCTTTGTAACTTTTCTTTGTCCAGAGCAGAACTTGGTAAGTACTGATTGGAATTGAAAAAAGCACAATAAGGTGAGTGCAGTGCACACGAACCATAACACTATTTTGACAAATTACAGAGTAATTGCGCTTTGAAACTTTTCCTTGTCCGGAGCATAACTTAAAACGTTCCGGTTGTAATGCAAAAAAAATCATACAATGATCAAGCACAATTAGAGAAAGTGCAGTGCACAAAAACTTTATCTCTGTTCAGAGTTATTGTAGAGTTAATGCCCTTTGTTACTTTTACGTTGCTTTTTTCTTGCCCAGAGCATAACTTGAAAACTACTGGTTGGAATTCAATAATTTTTCATGCAATGGTCAAGTATGATGAGAGGAAGCACAGTGTACAGAAATCATAACTCTTTCTGAACTAATTTTAAAGTTTTTGCCCTTTGTTACTTTTAATTGTCCAGTGCATAACTTGAAAATTAATGGTTGGAATTCAAGAAACTTTATACAATTGTCAAGGGCAGTTAGATGAAGAGCAGTGCACAAGAACCATAACTCTAATTGGACTTATTACAGTTATTGCCTTTTGTTTCTCTTTTGTCCTGTGCAAAACTTGAAAACTTGTTGTTGGAATTCAATACAACTTCATACAATGGTCAAGTACAATGAGAGGATGTGCAGTGTACAATTACCATAACTCTTTCTTCAGTTTTTATAGAGTTATTGCCCTTTGTTCCATTTCGTTGTCTTTCTGGACTTATTGCAGAGTGATTCAATAAAACGTCATCAATGGCCAACCACATCGAAAGGAAATGCAACATAGAAGAACCACAACTATCTTTATTTGCCCACAACCGTAACTGTATTTCAATTGTTTTACAAGGTATTCTGTTACTAGTGACATCCTCATTTCCGAAGCAGCCTTAAGTGATAGTTCTAGTTGTTCTTGATGTTGTTTTGTTTGTTTTTGTTGGGGGGTCGATTTGGGATTTTTGACATTGCGGGACAGGAAATGTTTTAGTCTCCAGATTTGTGTCCCATCTGACACAGGACTTGAAATACTTGCAAAGCTTGTGGGCAAAACTTTTTCTTATTCGCTAGCTCCATTATCAATCAAAATCATAATCATCTTTATTGTAAATGTTTTTTAACGCCTTTAGCCTAAATTAGGCGAGGAACCGCAAAAAGAACTATGTTCATTTGATGAGATTCTTTATTACCTTTTGCATATTTTCCTTTCAATGACCAAAACTGGTTTATATGAGATTCCCTCTGACCTAAATGCAAAATGGGTTTTCGATCGCTTAAACAATACAAAACGATATATAAGGAATAGAATGTAGATCTACATATATTAAAGTGTCTCATGCTAATTGAAGCTGTGCGATGAATGACTGATTTTGTAGTATCAACAAATATATTTCTACCGCGTTGCTAACGCAGTAAGATTTTTTTATGTGTATTTTGACTTATTTAGGTAATTTACTTGGATTGTAAGTGCCGTTTGCAATGTGTAAATTACTTGTTTTGATACCTTTCCAGTATCTTACTTTTAAGTTTATTTTCAAATTTTCATAAAAATAAGCATGAATCTGTAGATATGCTTCTTTGAAAAAATACTTAGCCACAAATATAAGTCGTTTTCTTTCAATTAAAATGAAAGAAGTGACCTTCATTTTCAAGTCATATAATTATTGTTTACAAGTATCGGAAAGTTTAATACCATTCTTTTAACTTGAATTGAAGGAAAAAAATTACCATGCTTCCAGAGACATCTAACACAAAAACCATGTAAATGTTGTTTTCTTGAATAAATTCAAAATCTGGTGTTGTGTTTGTTTCAGTAAGTGTTTTCTCGCTTGAATCTGAAAAAAAATATCGAAAACATTTTTCCCTCAATTTGTTCTAAACAAAATTACTTGACATTGTGGCGAGTTGACATATGTAGTGGCAATTTCAGATCAGATGTTTATGCTACCACTTTCATATCTTTTGACAGATGAACAAGTTTGATATGTTTATTACATTTTAAATTTTAGATTCTGAACAATGAATCTTATTGCAAGGGATGCAAACATATTTGTAAGAAAAATGTGTCGGCTACCATTTTGAAACGGGAATCATTTACATCAAAGTTGTATTTATATCATGAAACATCTAAAGGTTCTGATCAGTTTCAAAATCATCACTTTATGATGAATTCTAAATTTGAAGGTAGGTTCTTCGGGAAGTTAGCAACATAATGTCAAGAAGGTGTATGTGATGTTTATTGCATTACAAGAGAGGGCTATGATGTCCATGTATAATTGATAATCATTTACTGTATATTAAGTGCCAAAATATATGTTCCCTGGAGACATTTTATGGCATAAGTCATTATCATTTATTACTAACTTTTAAAGTCTTTGTGTTCCCTCATTACTTCCCAAGCACTTTTCCCATCACAAAATATGTTCTGAGCGGTTGGTGCTACTCTATTGTGGCGCTCGTCTTCCGGTACAGTTTCATCGTCTTTATCGCAAAACATGGACATCTTAGAAAAAAATCAACGCATTATCTTCAACACATTTCATAAGTCTTATAATTATGCCGTTAGACACTAACCATTTATTTTTTATATTCTAATAAACCAATACCTTTTTCTGATTATTTTTCAAAGCTCACAACTTTGGACAGTGCCAAATATAATAGTTTATATTATAAATAAAATTCTCCTGATACACATTTAATAAGTATCCATCGTGCCCATCGATATCAATAACTAGTATATCATTTAGTAATTGAACTTATAGAGAAGGTCATGCGATTATGAACTGGATAATTTCTATGTGTTGAAAATGGCCTTTTCTATATTGAAATTATAAAAGACAAAAATTGATTACTTTTCAAACGTAAGGAAGACATAATACGAAGTGGTATGAACCTTTTGACAAGCATATGCTCCATACCTGGTCGACATATTGATATCCCATCAAACTTATTTTCACATCTTGGTCCGTGTAAGGACAAAAATTGCAAGTGTTTTTCATCTTTTTCATTGAATTATCAGCGTCACACCTATTCTTGTGTTCTGTGTTGCAATTAAAACCTCTTCCTATCCGACCTTGCACTTTATGCGAACACCTGGAATCATACAATTAATATTAAAGAAAATTTATTTATTTATTAACCCAAGAAACGCCCGACAATGTAAAGAATATGGATGACAAAACTCATCGAAAATTTTGTTGGAGTTTACGTCTCACTTACATTGTGAAATTCAAATGTTTTTTTTTTTCAGCATATTGGTTTCGGTAACAGGCGCCCATTTATTAGTTGTTTGCGGCTCATGAAGCTTCGTTAGCAAGTTTGATAAGTTCCCCTTGTGATTAAGTCCTAATCCATATCAGAGAAGGGCAAGTGGTTTTAAGAAAATTCAAATAACTCAATCACAAATGCCCATTTATAAGGAATATTATTGTAAATGTAATAGTTGGATTATCATTACGATACGATTTTTTCTGATGACGAACGTTAATACCTGTTACTCCTTTCTTTAACCATATTTTGTTTTACTGATTACTATGTTGTTGTTGTGTATTGTGGGCAAATCTGGATATATAGGTTATAATAAGTACATATTATTATTACACGGAATATAGAAAAAACACTATAAACTACTTTAATACAATACTTCGAGTCCTTTATTGATTTTCCCTACCTCGAGATAAAAACGCACTGCAATAACAATACTGATTTTATGGTAGCCTGATTCTTCAGCTTTGATTCTTTTGTAAATTGTAGGGAATATTTTGGTTTATATAGCATTATTCCGTGTGTTTTTTTCTATTGCCGCATTAATGTAAATCGTGTCTTGTTTACGCCTTAAAAAGCAATTATCCAAAAAATACTTTCCAATACCGTCCATGAACAGGCTTTATTAAACATTTAATTTTTCTTGGTCGTTTCGGACGTTCTTATGGGATTATGTTAACTAAGTCAATATTCTATGATTTCCAGAACATTTTTTGTAAGATGTAAATGTTGTTTAGGCGAAATTAAAGCAGCATGCCTCCAGATGAGCCAAATTATTTCATTACAATCAAACATGAGAAATAATGTATAAAATTTTAAGGAAAAGTGGAAAGATTCAAGTTATAATTTAAAGGTTATAAGTGTCGGTGTCAATGGTTAATTTTTTTATCATGTATAACTGTATTTCTACTGTGTTAGTTACGCAGTAAGAGCATTTTTAGCATATTTGACCTTTTTGTCATTAATCATGGGTTGTAAGTGTCATTGATAATGAGTAAAATGCTTCTTTTATGTAACTATACAACATTAAACTTTTAATGACATTTCAAATTTTTCATGAAAATAACATAATCTGGAGGCGTGCTGCTTTAGATATGTTTATTTATGATGGCGGAGACCATAAATACTCAATTATAAATAAAATTTCAGTCTGATATCATACTGAATTTAAGATTAAATGTGGAAAAATATATATCATCAAACAATTCATTTACTTTGTTGTAAACTTGCTCTCTTAACATGCATTTATATATAACCTGGGCAAGAGGAAACACGTCAAGATGTGTATGTTATAACATTATAAGACCCAGATGGAAGGTAGAGAACCGTGTCCCTATCTCCAATTGGTTGGTGCATTGTATTTATCTGGATAATTTGTAACATTGTAATATTTGGAGTAACTTTTTGTATAACTTGCATTTACATTCAATTTTCGTCCAACGTTATAATTGTGTCATTTAATACTCTACAGCTACGTATTCCCTGACTTTAATAACATACTTGTTTATATTACAATTTTTTTTCATAACGTCACATGAAGAAAAAAACGTCTTAATGGTAACATGGTGTATATTTAAAATTTATTCAACAAAGCAAAGATAAAACATTTACCCGAGAGGTTTCCATTTACCCTCGTGCTGATAAAAGACGTCTGTCGATCCACCAATGCGTGTAGGATATTCGTCAAATAAACCCCAGCGAAGATGGCCCCATTCATGAACTATGACATTTTCTGAAAAAGATGTTATTGAATTAAATGTGTGGACAAGAAATTTCACATTACCGCAATGCAAGCGAAGACACTGACATTCATCCTTTAGAAACAGTACAAAGGTAAAACTTTGTTGTTGTTGTTTTGTTCTTTAGTTTTTTTTGTGTCTCGTCCGTGGTCGTAGGGGTTAGAGTCGATGACTTCTAATCCAGTTACCTCTCTGGCGTGGGTTTGATCCCCGGGAGACGCTTTGGTAGTTAAGCGCGGAGGAAGGTAT